ATAACCTTACTTGGTTAAATACATCACCGACTGGGGACGACTCCTTCGCCCACGACCCTAACGGTACTCAGCCGGCTAACGTAACACCCGGCGAGGTATATATATATATAAACATCAACTCACAGCCCGAGTAGATAATAACAACACCAAACGATCGCCTAATTATCGGGCTATAATATGGCTATTTTAAATGATTGGAACTAAGTAATTTGACAATTAGAGGTAGGCGTTAGGCGCCATCTCTTAATTAAATTAATAATTAAATAAATAAATTTAGAACATTCTGGAATAAAAGAACTGGCCCGGGGCGGGGCTTGAACCCGCAACCTCCGCTTGCCGTGCGGTGCGCTTGCCAATTACGCCTCGGAAAAAGAAGGTCTAATTCTTGGACCCATTAAAAACGAGTAAATTAACCTTTGTACTTATATAAACCAAATTCTATAAATTAATAGAATAAAAGGGCGAAATTATCTAATCTTAATGTTTATTCTTCTGTTTTGTCAAAGAGAACTTCGCCTACCTGTTTGTTAATTAAAAAATTAAAATGAAACATTTTTTATCGCCATTCTATAGTTGTTTGAATGGTTTAAAAAACTTCGTAATAGTGAGTCGCAGCACTTAAAAATGTGGTTAATGATGTCAAAAATATTAGTGATGTCTGTCATAACAGATGTCGTCATACACAATTTTAAATGTTTCTGCCGGTAAATATATACAACTCGATAATGGACTTTCGCTTATATCTATTAAATTTACAGGCTATCCATTCTTACATCTTATCTCGATTTTTTCAATATATTGCATAACAATATATTTATATATTTTTATTAATTATATAATTTTTTATCTGATAGAAATAATGTTTTATTATGTTTTCTTACGAAACTATTAAATCATACATTATTAGTAATTATACACTTACACAATAATGATGTATTATGTTGTTTTGCATTTTGTAAGTTATTCAACGATGCATTTATCACATTGCCTTGTTTAATACGTCAGGTTTCTTTGTTGTTTTTTACAGATACTTGGAATGGAATATTAAATAAACATTGCACGACTACAATGAATTTTTTTTAATAATACAGTAATAATAATCTTTATTTGTCGTAAAAGGATTTCGCCTGTTACAAGGGCGTTTTCTTCTGAAAAACGCGTATTAATTTAACATCTCATATATTCTCTTCTTATCAACACTGATATATTCTATTTTCTAATCTATATTTCACATTAATATTTTTACACAACTATCATTTAATAAATTGTTTAACATAGTTATATAACATATAAATCGTGTTAGTATTGGCTCTGTCAAAAGTCAAACATTTCCATCTCACAATTACAGTTAGCCAGCGGTCCCATCTGTTTTTTACAGATACTTGGAATACAATATTAAATAAACATTGCACGACTACAATGAATTTAAGTGCAGCCATTGTTCTTTCAGTTGTCGTTTGCATCATTTTATTATGGATAAGGTGAGTGACTTACTTTTCAATGTAATAAAATTATTTATAATATTAAGTTATAACAGCGCAACTGTATTATGGTAAATGGATACTGAAATCCTATTATCTCTAGAACGTTATATATGCTAGTACTTGTGTATCTTGCTATAGTTAAGACTTATCAACAGAGTTAACAGCATATTCTTTTATACAGACTAACAGAAAGTCTGTATAAAAGAATATGATTCATGTGTACTCAATGTACTATCAAGTTCAACCGGAATATAAGCACTTATTCTAATAAAATAGAATAGCGAAATAAAATTTGTTTACTTAACTGAACTGTGTCTTATGGTTAGAATAACAATTGATTAAAATAAAACTTAAATTTACCTTTTAATACACTGAATTCGAGTCACAAATTGGTTTTTTACATTTGTGACATAAAGTTTGCAATAGAGATTTAGTTTGTAATTCTTCGAATATGTAAAAAATTCTGTAGAGACAAAGATTTTATGATTGGTAAATGAGCATTTTATGTGCAAATTCGACATTAAAATGTTTATAGAACGTTTTCCTCTTAAATTTTATTTTAAAGACTAAAACAGCTGTCGTATAAAGCCAATTACGTCTTCGAAATACAGTCTACCCCTATAATGCGAATTCATATAATGCGCATTCATATATCGCGGCGAAATAATTGCGACTGTATTCGTATAAAGACGCTAAAAGAGACTCGTAAAATGCGGTAAAACATCATCGCCGACTCGTGTCGCGACAGAATTGGTCGTATCTGGACCAATAGTGAACGAGTAGCCGAACTACTACACACTTCGTAGAGTGTAGGGGAGTAAGTTGAGTTTACTATCGTCTATACAGTGTATAAATTAGGTACTGTATGTCTAATACAGTACAGTAATTTTATACATTTCTTGTGAAAAAACATTTCTTATTCAACGGCCATAAAAATTATTTCTGTTAATAATGTCTCTAAAGTTCAACGAATTTTTCGCAGAAAAATAACTTATCATAAAACGCGCCCGTTGTTTGGTGCGCTGCTCTGCGACGAAAACAAGCTTAAGCAATGGCGTCGTCGAACTGTGCACACTCAGTCAGTAATCCTACAATTTTTTGTTTATAGCATAGTTTATACGGATTATTCCCAAAAAATTATACGTGTTTTGGAAATGTTGAGACAAATTAGTGTAGAATCGATTCATTTTAGGGAAAAAAACCTTTCAAACAGCCGTAGTCTGTAAACTGCACTCGCGCCGGGCTGTGATTGGCTGATGTATTGAAGGATTCCTACAACGTGAAATTTTTATAAAGTGAAACGTATCTACTGCGTTATATGGGGTGGACTGTATTTAATATTTTAACAGGTTTTTCATAGTAATAAATAAGCATAAAAAGTTAAAATTCAGCTTATAGTAAACAGTAAACTATAATTTATACAGATGGAGAAAACAAAGGATGTCTTTGTTTCAACGTTACGGAATTCCAGGCCCAGAACCAAACTTTTTCTTTGGAAATTTAATTGAATTCAATAAAGAAGTAAGTATTTTCAGTTTGAAATGCACCTGCAATGAAGAATTTACAAAATGAAATACAATTTTCAACTATTTGTGCAGAGAGACAAATACATAGAAAAATGGCTACAACAGTACGGAAAAATATTTGGGTAATTAATGTATTAATGTATCTTTAAAACTTAATGCATATTTAATGAGTGTCACTTTATTTATAAAGTTATAATTGTAATTTAATATATATTATAAATTACATCTCATTCAATGTAACTTCTGCTTTTATTTAGGTGGAAAACCCTTTTTAGTATGCAGCGATGTCGAACTTTTGAAACTCATTCAAATAAAAGACTCTTACAATTTTTACAATAGAGATGTACGTATCTTGAAATAATTATTAGAACTTATATATTTAGTCTTAAAATTTTTTTATGTATTAATTTATTTTGTCGAAAGTTGCTGCTGCCTGATGGTGGAATTTCTCATGATTCTGTTAAACATATATTAGGAGTACACAGAGATGAAAAATATAAAAAGCTACGAAGTATTCTTAGTACTTGTTTCACTACAGGAAAAATTAAAATGGTATACTGATATTTCTTTATTTGAAAAATATCCCTCTTAAAATAGAATATGAATTTATATTTTAGACGACTACTCTAATCTCTTCACCGATAAAAGTCTTTCTAAGAAATGTCCAGAAGCAAGGAGATCAATCGTTTGATATTTCAACGTTGTGTAAAAAATTGGTGTTTGATATCGTCTGTACTTCAGTTTTTGGCGTAACCACAAATGTTCAGAATAATGAAACTAGTAAATTTGTTAAATCTGTTCATATCGCATTTTCAATTGATTCTACTGATTTTTTAGCTGCAATAACAAGTAATGTTTCAATTCATTAACATTTAATATATTATTATGAGCTAAAACTAAAGTAATAATGCATAATTTTGTTTAATTTTTATATAATTTAGTCTGTTTCCCGCAAATGGCGCCAATATATACGTTTCTTCGACATAAAATAGATAGTTTAAAGTACATGCTGAATCTACTTTCTGTGACATTAATTTATGAAACCTGTCAAAAAATTGTCACCGTCAGAAATAATTTAGATGTGAGTTTATTGTTACTATATCAATATGAATGAAATGCGATATTTCATTGTTTATTTCTATTATCTTTAATTTTAGACTGTTCCACATGATATGCTGCAGTCACTCATAGATGCAGAAGATGAGTCCATTGTAGAAATGAAAAAACTTCCAGACAATTTTGTTGTTGCAAATGCGATGATGTTTGTGGTTTTAGCGTAATAATCTTCATAAAATTGTTTATGTTCTGTAGAAAACACAAAAAATAATTGGTTTAATATAGAATTTCTAATAACTTTCTCAGAAATGACACAAGTGTTACAATGGGCTGGTGTATTAAACATCTTGCTGGTAATCAGTGTTGCCGCAATGAAATTTCAAAACGTACTGAAGCGCCTTCAAAAAATGTACTATTTTCCTTCAAAATGTACTAGTTCTATGAATACTTTGTTTACGTGTCTATATATATATATATATAGGCACGTAATATATATAGTTTATTGTCAAATAATTTAATTTTAAATTTTACTTTTGGAATTTTTTGAAAGCTATTTATAAATATTTACACATCTATTAGTTATTATAAATTGAGCATTACATTGACAACATTTATTAATAATACTATTGAATTTCATCTTAATTTTATAACCAATCGTGCTTTAAAAAAATAATTATAAATTTGTTATATTATATTATTTTATTCTTTATTATACTTTAAATTTTTTTGATGTTATTGCATCACTTTACGAAGTGGTATATACGTAATTGCATCAGTTTTAGTACCTATTTAATTAATTTCAATCATGACAGCAAAAGATAAGGATGCTTGTTTCTTTTAAACTATTTGATGAAAACGTTACATAAAATTGGGGTTGCATAATCATCCGAAATTATTATTATATTTTTGACTGGAAATTACAGGATTTATGCAATTTTAGTTTAATTAATGTCATATAAAACTGACTGCTCGTACAAGTTTGCTTAAAACATGCAACTCAAAAAACCCCAAAATGGCAGCTCAAGAAGTAGATCACGCGTGTCCTGACCTTCTTATATAGACCTTGGAACAGTCGGAAGCGCGGCCATTTTGGAACCATACGTAACATTAACCCTTATTTCTTTTACTACGATTACTAAAATTGAAGTTCATAATTTAAGAATTAAATTATAGTGGTAGAAAATAATATAAAAGTATTTATATTATTTATACTCGTACAATTTCAAAACTATTTTCTGTAATAATTTGTTTCTGACTTAACGGATATTTTGATATTATTGACGACAAAAGTTTAAAATCATTGATTTCCTTACCTGTCCATTATTTTTGTTTGACGGAGTTGAATTGTTTGATCCACGTGACATGAAAAATTTTGTCAAGGTCCTGATGAGAATGTGCAGACAACTGAACGTGTGAAAGAAGACCACTGAGTCAAGACCGTGCAACTATATATGTTGTGATTGGATAATTTAAATTAGCAAGCAGTGATACTAGTGAGACTTTATTAAACTCATTTTTTTTCAGTTTTTCGTTAAGGCATGAAATATTATTTTGTATCGTAAATGGTACTTGAAATATTATAATGTACTGAAAATGTACTAAAAATCTAAATGTGCTTTCAATTTACTGGAAAGGGCAAAATGTACCAGAAAAGTACAAATGTACTAGGAACGGCAACACTGCTGGTAATCCTGAAATTCAACAGAAAGTTCGTGAAGAAATAAGAAAAAATGTTTCTGAAAATGTAAGTTTCATTTTTAATTTTTAAATGTGTCTATACTGAATTAGGTTAGTTATATAATAATATACAAAAAGTATAAATGACAAATAAAATTTCAAATACAGTGGAACCTCGGAATACGATTTTAATCCTTTCCTGATGTTTGGACTTATACTGAATTAAACGTATACCAAACCAACCTTTCCCATAAGAAGTAATGTAAAAATGATTAATCCGTTCTCATAAAAAAATGGCTGGCTTTAAACACCTCGCTCTCCTGCTTGATTTTTCATGAGATCAGCATGTATCTTTTTAGCTTTCTCGCAAATAATTGCTTCCGATACGCTGTCTCTAGCATACTGTTCTTCAGTTATCCAAAGCAAAAGCAATTTCTTAGCACGGTTTAATGTCTTCGATCTCTGTTTAGAAACTGATTTAACCCCTTTCGCAACGTTAGCAGATTTAATAATGTCTTTATTTTTTGCGATTGTCGATATCGTCGTTCTCGGAATACGGTATGCAACAGTTAAAATCTCGAACACGCGTGCCACATTCATATTTCTCAACAGTCTTCTTTTTTGAGTTCCATTGTGATTCTAGTCATTTTTTTAGTTTTCTGTTGCTTTTCATTTGCCTTTTTGGAATTCATAATTAATAAAAATAATAAAATTTTACTTACAAATTAAAATCAGAAGAAATTTAACAAAGTTATAAACCGTTGCACCGCGAACGTCTAGTCCGGTCTAATACACCGATAGTGCTACTTGTACATAGATGGCGCTTATAATTGAATTACGTCGTATACCGAACAAAAGTCGTATACCGAGCAAAATTTGTTTCGTCCAAACAGGACGTATTCTAAATTGTCCGTATTTTAAAGCAGACGTATACCGAGGTACCACTGTGTATGGTTTTCCTAATATCAAACTGATTCCACTAATACTTTAACTTTAACGATGCCTTATTCCATCCCTTTAAATTAGAGTCAATAACAAAATTACAAATGCGGATTATGCACTTCAATTATCCTTAATTAAAATTATCAATTAAATTCACATACTGTAGACTCCCCTATAACACGATACATACGTTCCGTTTTATATGAATTCCTTGTTTTACGAGTCACTTAATTAAATACATGAGCCAATCACAGACCGGCACGTATGCAGTTTAAGGACTACGACTGTTTGAAAGGTTTTCTTTCATAAAATTAAAAAATTCTAAAATAATTTGACTCAACATTTCCAAAACACGTATAATTTTTTGGGAATAATCCATATAAGCTATGCGATAAACAAATCGAGTGTGCACTGTTCGACAACGCCATTACTTAAGCTTGTTTTCGTCATTGAGCGGCGCATCGAACGGCGGGTGCGTATTTTCTGATAAGTTATTTTTCTGCAAAAAATTCGCTGAACTTTGAAGACATCATTAATATAAATATAATTTTTAGGGCCATTAAATAATAAATGGTTTTTAGTAGGTCCGCTGCTCATTTAAATTCAACGCTTTGTTTAATATCCGCTATTGGCGTAGATTCGACCAATCCTGTCACGAGACGAGTCGCGATGACGTTTTACCGTATTATACGAGTCTCTTTTAGCGTGTTTATACGAATACGATCGCAATTTTTGTCATGTTATACGAATCCGTATTATGGGGGGTCTACTGTGTATGTTTATATAACGATAATCGATCAATGCTATACAATATCGAAAATAAACTTAAATATCTTACTTTTCTTTCAAGATGATAAGTTCAATCGGGCAATCGTTCAAATTGCGTTGGACTTATCGGTTATTTGTAATTTCTAAATAAAAGTTATAAAATTCCTAGATAAATGCATGTATTTGAAGGTCATTATTTATTCCTTCATTAATCTGTATATCTTGATACCGTTTTCTTTAGAATTTACTTCAATTTCACAAATTTAGACTGTTTGTAGCTTCAATCTAGTTAGCATATGATTGTCTACTTCCAACATATATGAGGTTGTTTAACTTTTTTTACTCAAATTAAGAGCAACTTCTTTTATGACGAATTCCTTTCAGTCTGGGAGTAAGTTCCAGTTATATCATATAGCGTTATCTCTTATATCAATATTTCTCTTTTCTTTCAATTAATATTTTCTTGCATGTTTACTTAATTCATTTTATCACAACTACTCTATCAACTTCTCCTCTTCTCTATAACAGCGCATTTTGCCAATTCTCTAATTTTGTCAGGATTAATTATCAGATAATTCGCATGTCTATCCTCAATAGACACAGGTATGTGACTTCGTTTTAATTCGGTACTAGATTCTATTTTCTTATGAGTGGCTTTCCCATACACCGCTTTGTTAGATTGTCCGAAAATAATTGTAAGGATGAACTTCAGCAAACTTGTGAACTTTTTAAAATTAACAATGTTTTTAGCACAGTTTGTTTCTAAATTTTATTTATTCTCAGTTCCTTTTTTTTCTATTTTGTCTTAAGTTAGCATTGTCTATTGGATCATCTACTTTCTTTTCTCCATAGGCTTATTGGAAAGCTTCTTTTTCTTATGTTCTTTTCCTTGTTTCATAGTGCAATTTATTTTCGTATCTTTAGCTAATTTGTCTTCTTTCTTTTCATTTGTATTGTATCCTCGCATTAGTTTTTCTATCGTCTTCTATACGTCCATTCTGTCTATAGCGTCTGCTGTGAGGAGACACTCGGATTGTTTCTGAATACTGTCGGCCATTTTCTGTATTGTTTCAACTATTTCTCTTCTCTATTTTTATGTGGGACGTACAGAAATGAACTTTTTTTTTCATTTTGCAAGATAATCCTGTTATTTTGAGTACGTATTTCTATGTTTTCTCCCTGTAATATATCTCGACCAATTATTCCTTACGAGGGGCTATTAATTCTGATTGTATTATCCAACAATTATTCGTGAAATTGTGCTCCTGTACCTTAAATATCGGTGCATCAACACCTATCGGTTTTAGAACCTTTGCTGGAAAAAATCTCTAATTCAGATTTTTCTCTAAATATTATGGGTGTCTTCTTCCCTAATTACTCTGCTAACACTTTTGATATGACTGTGGTTTCAGCATCCCAGTCGAATTTCATCTTTGTAGGAATATTATTCAAATAAATTAATATGTAGGGAGCCTTTCTTTACTTAACGACAGACAATTTCCCGTTCCACCAGTTATTTTCTCTGATTTGATACTTCCTTCTATCTTGGCGCGGGTGGATATGTTTATCTCTATACTGATCTCGCTTCTCTCTGCAATAACGAAAAGTGCAAATTTTCATATCTATTATTTTCCCTTTTTTAGTATTTTCTACTGTCTCTTTTCTTTTTGAAAATTGTAGCTTTTCCTCCAATTTGTCTAATTGTTTTTGTAACTCTTGCAATTCATCTATACTTATATTTTTTCCCTCTAAGGGGTTTTGATATTTCTCTCCTACAACTCTTATTATTCCACCTCGCCCTGTAGCAAGAATTCCAACGTCTTTTTCGGATATGGCGATCTCTAAGGCCTTATCAAACGTCAGGGGTTCGCTTGCCATCACCCTCTGACTGATCCTAATATATATACCGCTCAAGAACTGGACCTTAAGCCTTACGTTTAATTCTTTTCCTTTCACCCGGTGAATAACAGCCACTTTTGCTTCACTGGCCCATTCATGCTCTATTTCTACCTCAGCTGCAAGAGATTGTAATCGAGCCAAATAAGCTTGGACATCTTTGTCTCGGGCTTGTACACAGGCATAAAATTTTTGTATCAATAATTTAATTAAGGCGGGGACTCTCTCAAATCTTTCTATTAAATGTTTCTTAAATTCTTTGTAACTGTCAACATGTTTAATTCTTTTATTTCTCTTTGCAAATTGCCGCGCGATCCCTGTCATCTTTAGTCTAGCTACCGTTAATTGTTGTGCCTTTGTCCAGGCTGCCAGTCTTTCTACATCTTCTAAGTATTCAAAAAAATCTCTAATGCGGAGTCTTTTATCTCGCCCGAAAACGTCAAAAGCATTGGCACCAGGCTTCCTACACTGTCTAAAACAGCCTGTGGGTTTTCCTCGGCTATTATTATTAAACTTATCTCTATCTTATTTTAAAATCTAACTTGAAGTATACAACTATCTAAATCAACGATCTCTATCGATAACAAAACCAAGAATTACAGAGCAACACAGATCCCTATACAATTTGAATTAAAATTTCTGTGACTTAAATCCAGCCTTATCTTCTCCAAAAAAAAACACCAACAGTGAGATTGAGGAACATTCTATAAATCTAAACTTCCGCTTATGCTACACCATTTTGTGAGGCTTTGGGAGGGCCGTCGGAGTTCTACGTTTTGAAGTCGAATTATACTTTCGGGTTATTTATGTCGAACTCCTTGTCTTCTATATCGAGGACCACTGTAGATTTTCTCTATATGAATCTGGTGAAGAACTCCTCGATCTCAGGATGTGCTTTGCTATATTAAATGTAATATGAGCCAATCAACATATGAGCTTTTCTGTTGTCAGCGGGATGTTCTTGAAGGAATAAAGAGGATAAACATGCAGATAGTTGTCTAACTTTCAAGATAAGAGTTCGTCAAAAAAGTTTATTTGATCCCTCTACCAAAATGACTATGTGACATTTTTTTTTGTGAATAATTATTTCTCTAAATGTAATAATTCGTAATATTTTATAAAAATTGACCTCCTCAATCCGCGGCTTTCACAATGTAGTAAACATCTAGATCAGGGGTGTCCAACCCGCATCCGAGGACTGCATGCGGACCAAGGCAAGTTCTAATGCGGCCACATAAACGTGTAAACAAAACCGACAAATGTTTTTATTTTTTTATTATTTATTAATTTCAATGGCAGAAACTCAGAAAAGAAGTTTCACAAAGCCGTAAACTTTTATTCATATTTTATGTTTGAGTGAAAAGAAAATATTTTCAAATACTTGGAGATGTGTGAATGCGAAAGGATTACTAAATAAAGCTGGAGTTGTGACTCAAAGGATTATAGACCCAAATTTGGGAGAAGGAGAAAAAGATGAGAAAGGACAAAAGATGTAGTAGTGAGAAACGATAAACAGATTTTCTGTTAAGCAAATATGGACCCGTTATTTTTTAACCTTTTTCACTTCTTTATCTTTTGACCTTTGGCTCTTTTTCCCTTGCATATGGGTCTATATCAATCATCTTCATCTATCATTTTCGCTCATCTAACCTTGTTCGCTATAAACAGCTATTTTTACGTTCCTCGCTATATATGACAGAGGTTAGCCTAACAATTTTATATTTTTCCCCTCCGGATTAGCTTCAAATGTTGAGAAATTTAAAAAAAAAATGCCGAATGTTTAACTGTAGGGGAGACCGGGGCAAGATCGGCATGTTAAGATTTACTTAAATTTTGTGTAATAAATACTTATGTAAAGTGAAAAAAAGCTTTGCATATTGTCTATTGGAATGTTACCTTACTATAGAACTGGTTAAAATCAGTTTGGAAATAAAAATAATAAAAATAATTACAACTTTACAAGAAGAGAGAAATTGACGAAGTTGCCCCGGGTATAGGGGCAAGATCGGCAACTTCTCTCTTTTTGTAAAGTTGTAATTATTTTAATTATTTTTATTAAAGTTGCCCCTGGTATAGGGGCAACAGTAATGGGGCAAGATAGGCACGTATATAAAATTATGTTATTAACAATGTATAAGTTGGAATTCACTATTAAAACAAAGAAATACAAATCCAACACCCATTTAATATTATTACAACGAAATGCAAGTTCAAAGACATATATACATGAATAACAAATGCAAACATGTTTTCATTTATCATCTGTTTGATTTTTATCCTTTGCTTCTAATGTGGCTTTATGTTGCCGATCTTACCCCGCTAGTCATGATTTCGAAACATTAAGTACAACCCTGAGAACAGAATGCCAAGCCACGATCTGGCCACGTGAATAAGTTGAAGTTACATCCTTCTAACAGGAAAAGTAACTTTCGTTATCATGGAATTATAACAAAACCTGCCAATTCAATATAAATGGAAAAAAAATATTATATGGAATTGAACGAAAATGAAAATTTGCTTGATAATTCAACTACGCTTGTTGGAGAACAATAAAAACACTACACTCAACAAGCCACCAATAAAACTCAACTGCCTAACCTATAACCAAAGTCTCCTTTTAATTTGTTTTTTAAAAAAAGCGCTTGACAAACATGCCCCGCATGCCGAAGTTGCCCCGGTCTCCCCTATATAGATGTTAGTGTGTGTTGGATTATATTTCGCTTAATGTCACAGGATAGGGTGAAGTTTAAGTAACGAAATTAGGCACGGTGGCTGGTGTATGAAAAGCATTAATGCTCTTAAATTTTAGTGGTGAAAAATCGAGACGGTAAAAAATAGAAAAGAGTCATTCATCTCGAGATGGGTAGGAATTAATAGGGAGTTTACTGATTGTTAAAATTTACTATTCTTTTATAAAACGTATATCATCCCTGAAAAGTTACGTGCGTCCGTGGAGAAATTTGGACATTGATCAACTCAAGTTTACGCGAAGTATTACGAAAGTAATGACACTTATCTATAAATAATAGTGCCAAAAAATTATTAGATAATGTTGTGAATGCGATTGTTGTCTTTCGTGGAAAACAGCAAAAAAGCCAATAACTTTTTTTAAACAAGCAGCAACAAACTTGATACTAATTCGTAATAAGTAAACAATTGAATTTCGTACCTTATAATACAATCGGAGATGGGTTGATAATAATAATAATAACAATGATAAGCGCAGTGTTCAAACGGTTAGGAATTGAAAATTGATATTTGGTACACCACGAAAATGTACATCAAGAAGGTATTTTTCAAAATTGTCTCCAACGGGAGAGGAAAGGGTTAAGTATCACTCTGAAGAACTTTTGCGTTTTGAGGGAAATCGAACATATATTTAGACTCATCTAAATGTACTCTAATTAGTCTCGGAAAAAAGAAGGTCTAATTCATGCACCCAGTGAAAACGGATAAGATAACCTTCGTAGTTATATAAACCAAATTCTATAATATAATAGAATAAAAGGGTGAAAAGTAAGAAATTATCTAATCTTAATGTTTATTCTTCTGTTTTGTCAAAGAGAACTTCGCCTACCTGTTTGTTAATTAAAAAATTAAAATGAAACATTTTTATATCGCCATTCTATAGTTGTTTGAATGGTTTAAAAAATTTCGTAATAGTGAGTCGCAGCACTTAAAATTGTGTTTTGTAATGTCAAAAATATTAGTGATGTCTGTCATAACAGATGTCGTCATACACAATTTTAAATGTTTCTGCCGGTAAATATATACAACTCGGTAATGGACTTTTGTTTATATCTATTGAATTTACAGGCTATCCGTTCTTTCATCTTATCTCGATTTTTTCAATATATTGCATAAGAATATATTTATATATATTTTTTAATTATATAATTTTTTATCTGATTGAGATAATGTTTTATTATGTTTTCTTACGAAACTATTAAATCATACATTATTAGTAATTATATACTTACACAATAATGATGTTTTATGTTGTTTTACATTTTGTAAGTTATTCAACGTGCATTTATCACATTGCCTTGTTTAATACGTCAGGTTTCTTTGTTGTTTTTTACAGATACTTTTGCTTAAATACTAAATAAGCATTGCACGACTACAATGAATTTAAGTACAGCCATTGTTCTTTCAGTTGTCGTTTGCATCATTTTATTATGGATAAGGTGAGTGACTTACTTTTCAATGTAATGAAATTATTTATAATATTAAGTTATAACAGCGCAACTGTATTATGGTAAATAGATACTGAAATGCTATTATCTCTAGAACGTTATATATGCCAGTACTTGTGTATCTTGCTATAGTTAAGATTTATCAACAGAGTTAAGAGCATGTTACACATACCCTAACAGAAAGTCTGTATAAAAGAATATGATTCATGTTGTGTACTCAAAGTACTATCAAGTTCAACCGGAATATAAGCACTTATTCTAATAGAATAAAATAGCGAATTAAAATTTGTCTTTTTAACTGAACTGTGTTTATTGGTTAAAAAACAATTGATTATAAATAAAACTCAGGTAAACCGTTTAATAAACTGAATTCGAGTCACAAATTGGATTTTTGCATTTGTAATATAAAGTTTGCAATAGAGATTTAGTTTGTAATTCTTCGAATATGTAAAAAATTCTGTGGAAACAAAGATTTTATGATTGGTAAATGAGCATTTAATGTGCAAAATCGACATTAATTATATATAATAAATGTTTATGGAACGTTTTCCTCTTAAATTTTATTTAAAGTCTAAAACAGCTGTCAAATAAAGCCAATTACTTCTTCGAAATACAGTCTACCCCCTATATTGCGAAATCACATAATGCGGATTCGTATATCGAGGCGAAAAAATTGCGACCGTATTCGTATAAAGACGCTAAAATAGACTCGTAAAATGCGGTAAAACATCATCGCCGATTCGTGTCGCGACAGAATTGGTCGTATCTGGACCAATAGTGAACAAGCAGCCGAACTACTACACGCTTCGTAGAGTTTAGGGTGGTAAGTTGAGTATACTATCGTCTATACAGTGTATAAATTAGGTACTGTATGTCTAATACAGTACAGTAATTTTATACATTTCTTGTGAAAAAACATTTCTTATTCAACGGCCATAAAAATTATTTCTGTTAATAATGTCTCTAAAGTTCAACGAATTTTTCGCAGAAAAATAACTTATCATAAAACGCGCCCGTTGTTTGGTGCGCTGCTCTGCGACGAAAACAAGCTTAAGCAATGGCGTCGTCGAACTGTGCACACTCAGTCAGTAATCCTACAATTTTTTGTTTATAGCATAGTTTATACGGATTATTCCCAAAAAATTATACGTGTTTTGGAAATGTTGAGACAAATTAGTGTAGAATCGATTCATTTTAGGGAAAAAAACCTTTCAAACAGCCGTAGTCTGTAAACTGCACTCGCGCCGGGCTGTGATTGGCTGATGTATTGAAGGATTCCTACAACGTGAAATTTTTATAAAGTGAAACGTATCTACTGCGTTATAGGGGGTCGACTGTATTTAATATTTTAACAGGTTTTTCATAGTAATAAATAAGCATAAAAAGTTAAAATTCAGCTTATAGTAAACAGTAAACTATAATTTATACAGATGGAGAAAACAAAGGATGTCTTTGTTTCAACGTTACGGAATTCCAGGCCCAGAACCAAACTTTTTCTTTGGAAATTTAATTGAATTCAATAAAGAAGTAAGTATTTTCAGTTTGAAATGCACCTGCAATGAAGAATTTACAAAATGAAATACAATTTTCAACTATTTGTGCAGAGAGACAAATGCATAGAAAAATGGCTACAACAGTACGGAAAAATATTTGGGTAATTAATGTATTAATGTATCTTTAAAACTTAATGCATATTTAATGAGTGTCACTTTATTTATAAAGTTATAATTGTAATTTAATGTATAATATAAATTGCATCTCATTCAATGTAACTTCAGCTTTTATCTAGGTGGAAAACCCTTTTTAGTATGCAGCGATGTCGAACTTTTGAAACTCATTCAAATAAAAGACTCTTACAATTTTTACAATAGAGATGTACGTATCTTGAAGTAATTATCAGAACTTATATATTCAGTCTTAAAATTTTTTGATGTATTAATTTATTTTGTCGAAAGTTGCTGCTGCCTGATGGTGGAATTTCTCATGATTCTGTTAAACATATACTAGGATTACACACAGATGAAAAATATAAAAACCTACGAAGTATTCTCAGTACTTGTTTCACTACAGGAAAAATTAAAATGGTATACTGATATTTCTTTATTTGAAAAATATCCCTCTTAAAATA